GAACTTGACAACTCAAGTTCTATAATCTATTGATGTATAACAGGCATGAAGCCAGTCCATACCTAGAATGACATCAAAAACTACCACGCCTAACTCAACTAAATCAGCCATGGTGTCTTTATGATTGAAAAAAATAGAACAATCACAATAGACTCTTTCTACTAGAATAGACTCACCATCAGGTGTAGAAACACCAAATGGGCTCAAGAAGTTGCTCAAGAAGAACATCAAAATTGAAGACTTGGATCATACTAGTGACAATATCTGGCGAATCTTCTTGCTCTCGGCGACTAGCGATAGTATAAAGATAGTTTCCTTCTCCGTCTGCCCTTGAAATAGCTCATCTAGATGCAATTCTAACTGGTGGAGCATCTGAAAAAGACTGGGCTCTATTTCCCCCCATTACCATTACTCTGTCTGCTCTTAGGACACTCTCTCATAAAATGACCATTTTGGCCACACTTGAAGCAACTAGTGGAGCCATCACGACACACCCCTGAGTGGCTCCTACCACACTTAGCACATGCAGGAGTCTTAGTACCCCTTTGTGCCTTACTACCTTGCGAATGCGCAGGTCTAGCTTTGAAGTTTTGAGAATTCTGACTATTGTACTCACATTTGTTCCTTGGTGCAGGTGCACTAGCAGATGATGGAGCAGCTCCTTTCTGCTTATGTTGGAAAGAGACTGGTTCACATTACTTTTTTGCTGCTCGGATTCATTCCCTGATGTCTTAGCCTTTTTATTCTCAAACTCTTTTCTATCCTTCAGCTGGTCATTCTCAACTTGTTACACATGGATCATCAGCTTTGCTATGCCCATGTAACCTATTAGCATGAATGTCTTACTTTTCTTACTTGATAGACGAGTCAACCCAACTACGAATAAACTCATCCTGCTCCACATGTCAGTAACCATCTATTTGCTTCTCTTAGCTCACGAGGAAATAAACGCCTCATGAAGGCACTCTCGACCATAGGCCAGCTCAAAATCGGTTATGCGTAAGCACAAATTAGAAAGAGACTTTTATAGAGATACATTCTATCGCACGAAATGAGTATGAAAGAAGTGAAGGAATTCCTAAATGTTGTAGACTCCTAATTATATGTGTGGCACATTTCACACTGATAACTAGGACTCTACAAACATGGCTTCATAGACTCTCTAGGACTCTTGAACTCTATGCTCTGATACCAAGTTTTGTCATTCCCCGAGCCTATACCCCGGACGTGGCTGGCACTCGAGAACCATTGCTGGCCCCAAGAGAACCCTTGGTCTGGCTTACTTACTCAGCGGAAGACTTAAACATAAGAAATATAACTCATGCATAACTTAAGAAATAATGTCTTAGCCAAAATGGCAACTCAAGTCTTAAACGTATACAACTGAAATGAATAAGACTAAAGAACTATAACTATCTGTCTATGAAGCCTCTAAAACAAAGAGGGATGTCGGGACAAGGCCCCCGATCATCCTAACAATGAAATACTGAAAGCAAAGTAAAAGGAGTCCTTCGGAATGCAATGAGGCTCACCAACTGACTCTGAGTGCTCCACTAGATCAACGAGGCGCTGGGTGATGATCCCGGTTACCTGAATCTGCATCATAATAAGATGCAGGCCAATTGGCATCAGTACATTGAATGTACGAGTATGCGAGTTGGAATGCTAAACACAACATATGCTTGAAAAGAATCTGAAAGAAACACTTACCTTGGCTTTACTCAACTCCTGAATAACTTAACTCAATATAAAGCAATAAAACATATGCAACATATAGAAAGCTTGTAAAACAGTGTAAAACATCTTAGTTCGTTAAAGAAAACGTAATAACAAACTCAACTTTAGTCATATAATAAAGTAATATAGTTTATGTAGGAGATTCTCTAACCGACGATCACCACTATGAGCCTAAGTGGTGATACAACGTCTTGCCCACGCTGCCAGAACTGTCCTGTACTTTGCCGTCATATAGAACGCCTTAACTAAGTGGATCCACTAGTCTATGCTAAAAAACAACTGAAGGAGTCATCTAAAAAGTATGATCATTTACTACCCATGATGGCTACATGGTTTACGGAGACTTGAGTTAATATGAACTCGCATCCCCATATCGGTGCTCAATACTACTCTCAAAATATACTTAGCTCATATGTTTTTAAAACAAACTTCTCTCTTTGGTTTGAGATAATTACTCAAAACTTAACTTAAAAGCTCTCTTGAAATCGATGTTTCCTTTCTTGCTCAAATGTGAAAACATTTCTTAACATTTGGGAATACTTAGTTCCCATATAACTTTGAAGAATAAACTTTACTCTTAACTCAACTTGAACTTTAAGTCTTAAAACAAAGTTAAAACGTTTGTGAAAGACTTTTGAAAACTTTAAGAACTTCTCTTGACTTACTTCTTAACTTTTAGACTTGATTCTTAACTTTCCTTGAATTGAGTTATGGATTCAAGGTTCATGATCTCATGTTTATGGATTATTTCATGATGTTTAGATGTACCTAGGAGTATTGGAATCAACTAGAAAACATAGGTACATTGCTAAGGAACTAGTACGAAAAGTTGGGGGAGAAATGGGAAGAACTGGCGCGCTCTGAGAGGCGCGGGGTGCTAGAGGGTAAAATTCAGAGATAGACCTGGGGAGCGCTGGCTGGTGTGGTGCCTCAAGGGTGAAACTTCAGAGAACCTTTTGGGGGTCGCTGGCTGGCGCGGCGCCCTACCCCTTTCCCCAGGTGTTCTACGATTTTTCTTTCTCGTTTTTCAATTCTAAACTCCAATGGTTCTTTTCCCAAACATTTAGAATCGACTAAACCATCAAAATACATCAGATTCTACTCGAAATCACAACTAAAATCATGAATCAAACTCAAGAAACTTCAACAACAAGAATCCACAAGATTTCAATCGAATTATCATCAAGAACTCATAGGATTTACTTTCAAAACTATATAACTTCGTTGAATTGAATAATGATTGGCGCGTGGGTGAACTAACCCAACGCTATGTGATCTCACATACCTCGTAGGGATCACCCCTTGACGAAATCCACAAGTGAAAACCTTACTAACGACTAACTTTGACTCTTTTCTCCTCTTCTCTCCTCTTGGTTCTTTCTCCAAAAACCCTAACTCTAATTTCAAAAGCGTAAATTGACCAATTTCATTTTAGACCCTTAGAAATATTACCATAAACGGATTAATTAAGGTGGATATGGAAAAGACCAAACTATCCTTCCAAAATCCGGATTGGACCTTCCTTAATCGAACAGCCCCAACTTCCAATGGACATATCTCACTCAGACAAACTCGGAATAGCGCAAACTTGACGGCGTTGGAAAGATAATTCAACGATCTTTCCTACGGTATCTGGAAACACATCTAACTCATCCTGAGCTAGGAGTTAGGGTCGTTTGAAGTTGACCAAAACTCATTCTTAACCTAACTTAAACCAATTTCCAGATTTTCATTATTTCCAAAAATCACTATTTCCAATTCTTAACTTCTTCCTAGTTATTTCAATTGACGAGATGCTACACTAGTGTAGTCGCACCTATAATCTTGTGTAAAACTTTCATGGTTGGTTTTGGTTTTTTATTTTTAAAAGTGTTTTGGCCATTTTTTCCTTTTCATTATTGTTTTTTAGTATTTGTGGTCTAAGGAGGTGGGCGATTAGATTTCCAAGGTGTTTGATAGAGAATTATGCAAGTTTTTCGTTTTGTAAGTTGATATGGTTGATTTGGTTAATGTTTGTAGAAGTTGAGCTCATATCAAAATTTCATCATTCATTTTGTGTATGTGCTCCTAAAAAAATATAGTACTCGATTCCATTACATGCATGGGGCAATCAAAAAAGCCAGCATTTCTTGGAATACTGACTATAATGCTATCAATAGTTGTACTAATCCAACCTCATATGTCTTTCTCCTACCAAAAGGAAAGAAAAAAGAAATAAGGATTTCCCCTATGCTTTAACAATGGAATTCTTCCCCCGGTCCCCTTTAGAAAAAGGGAGAAATTTTTGATATATTTATTGGATCTGTTGGGACTGACGCGACTCGAACCTACAGCTTCAGCCTTGACAGGGTGGTGCTCTGACCAATTGAACTACAATCTCAGGTTAATAGGACCTTCGATTTGGATTCCGAGATTTTTTGGTGCATTTTGAATAGTTGGTCAGAAGTTTGAAAGTAAGATGATCTTTTTTTGGTGTTTTGAAATTTTATTGCGTCCAAAATATCGTTTTCAAGCTAGTAGAATATTTGATTTGTGTCACTGAGATTCCAAATGAGTTTGAGATGAAATTTTAACCATAGATATTTTGACCTTGTTTTAGCATAAAAATGAGTCGACTGAAAGTTCACTTTTTAGTTTTAGAAATCGAAAAATTATTCAGGGACTTCCAAAATTTTGAGAATGAATTATAGGAGTGACGTGCAAAGTTTGGTACCATTCTAAGTCGATATCAGGTTTTTATCGCGAAATATAAAATGAAAAAAAAAATAACGAATAAAATTATATTTTGACAGCAAAAACGAGCACTAAATTGAGTTTTGATTAAACGAGTAAAGGAATCAATTAATTTAGAGGTTGCAACTATAGTTTCTGGTGCAAAATCAGTTGGTGTAGATTCTGTAAACAATGCATCTCAATTTCATAGGAAAATCATGAATGTTCTTATTAATATTGGTTCCCTTTGTCATATATTATTGTAGATTAAAGTTCTAAGGTTGACCAGACATTGTACGTAGTATGCTTATTATTATGTATGTAAGAATAAAATCAAACTGATATCTTACGTTTCATTTTCAACTAGACGCCAGCCACACAAAATAAAACATGATGGGAGAATAGAACCTTTACCGGTTGTGCATGTCTGAATTGTCAACTTCATTCATTATGTAAAAGATCACTTGCTAATGACAGTAAAAGAGGAAAACCCAAATTGTAAGCTACCTGATTAGGTGAAAAAACTCGAAAACTAGAAAAGTGCCTCGTATGTTACATTCTAGCTCTAGAAACTACACAGCAGTGTGGTTTCTTTTTAAGTCCACCACAATTACACTAATATTATCACAGCTATTCCGGCCCAGAGCAAGCCGGGTGAGCAGCGCTGCTGCTGAGCATGCCCTTCGTGAAGAAAACATTGCTCCTCTGCTATCACCTTCTACAGAAGAAGGCCTGGAACTAAGGTCCCCAGCTGGATCTCTATGTCGAAGACACTCCCTACCCACTGCACACGCTATATCACTTGATATAACATCCCACAAGCCATCACTTGCAAGAATCAAGCACTCATCCTCTGCTTCCCTTTTTGTGAAGGTCATCTCTGGCTCCGATGTCATATATGGCTTTAAATTGTTGTCTCCTGTTTGCAATGAAATATAACAGAAAATTCAATAGTATTTGAACCAAAGTTGGGTCTTTTAATGTAGTCATTGAAAGACAACTTTTGTTTCTTATACAACTACCCCTGCTGCAAATTTACATATTACAGCATCCTTACAAGGTTGATCAGGCATTGTAAATAAACTAAAGAATAACTATATATGTTGGTATCAGTACCACACTCCCCTTAGTAAAACTGTTCCGTCAAAGTTACATCATTGCGAAACATCAATGGAAGTACTATAAATCCATTTAGGGCAACAAATGTCTCTTCCTGAATCATCACTAAATAGCTCCCAGTTTGTCCCATATACATTGAAGCACAAAAGACGACTACAAAGATCTATAACCAACTTACCCAAGATCTTTCTACTTAGTCGTCTTATAATTGAATACGGACGTATAAGTAAGCGTTCTACCAACATGCACATTCCAAATAGAGCCCTAAATATGAAACCTGCTATCAATCCCAATTGATCTCTTTTGCATATCTTTAGAAGAGATACAGATCCGCAAATGTACAATGGTTACATTGCCTGACAATTCATTTAATCTGTACGACTACAACTAATTTTCTAAGAAGCCAGGGTGAGTTTGGCACTTGTAGCTGCAAACAATAAATAGTGGTTTAGCCAATTATGCACTACCGTTAACAAATAATCAGTCTTCTCTGCCTCCAATCTTTTGTTCATGCCTGATACAAGATATGTGCCCTTATATTTTTATTGGTTACAGTAAGGGATTTTCTTAGCTCGACTTCTCCACAACAAAAGGTTGCAGCTTCTTTATAGAAGAGTAAATATTGTTGCTTGAAGAAGCAACAGTAGCAGTCGGTGCTGAAGGCAATATTCTACCATCTAACCCTCTAAGGAATTGAAGGGATAATGTACGTAAAAGGAAAAACAAACAAAGCTACAGTTCTAATGCCAGTTTCCTTCATCGGAAGCAGAAATTTAGCAAAACCACATTAAGCTTTTACTGTATGTCCACGAGTAATATTTCCACTGGCAACTGCAATTATGTCATTGCACAGAGAAACATGTTCTGCAAAAGGAAAAAGCAGTTACCTATTGCCCTAGACATGGAAAGTACTCCTTCAACTCGTGCTCCATCCGTAAAAACAACTCGACCTCCACATGCCTCTATTCTGGCACGTTCTTCTCGTTTGTCTGGCTGCAATAGAAAGTCAAGTTACTTTTAATTAGGACAAATCATTTTCTTTAAGTACGTAGTAATCTACTACATGATTCTTTGATATGTTCTCTATTAAGTTAATAATAATTGAACTCAGAGAGATCGCAGACGGTAAATCATGAATCCAGCCATGCTTAACCATCAACTAGTTCAACCTCTCGAATTATGTAAGCTCTCCTAGTACAAGCTCAACTTAGGTGGAGCATTAGCCATTTAATGAAAAAAAATACCAACAACAATGTATATTTAACAGTACTTAAGTGGAAGGCAGCATGTTTACTTAGTAGGAGGTACATACCTTGTGATCATAAGAAAGAGGGATCGCACTTCCACTGCGGCTAAGAACAGCGCGTGAGTCACCACAGTTTGCTACAATGATAGTCTCGTCCGTCAAAACTACCACCACTGCAGTGGAGCCCGTCGGTGGTTTCAATACGCTCGGTGGGCAGCCACATTCGTAGCCTACACCACCACATTCACTACATATGCATGATGCCATCTCATCTATCTTCAAGAAGCAACTTTTGAATACTCTTCTCCATGCTTCCTCCATCCTCTGCCCTTCCAATGGTTGTCGTCTTCCACCGTTACCGCCCATGTCTACGTTGTTTCTCATGCGCATCAGCTCTTCTTCTAGTACCTCATGCATTCTCTCTTTACACATTGAAGCTACCTGAATAGGAAAAACAGCTGTAAGTTGATTATGCTACTATCGTCTTCAAAATTAATAAGTACAATCTTTAATTCCTAATATAAAGAACTACACTATTTTATAGACAGAGAACATGTGAAGGGCCTAATATAATCCCAACTTCCAAGTAGAAGAGTAGTTTTCATTTTTAATTAGCGCAAGTAAAAAGGTATGAGAAGAGAATTTTCAATTTATAGAGTTTCATACAAGAATAAATCAGATATACAGGAGAATTATATTTTCGTTTCAAAAAAATTCAAATATTTATGATAATGTTTTAATTTTCCTTAAAGAAAAAAAAATAAACTTCAAATAAAATCTTAACAATATCGTCCCTGCAATAATAAAACGAACTCCATTATCTTATACAGATAAAAATCATTTACCGACAATAATAGATTTTCAGCCGTATATTTCTTTTTTTAAGAAGTAACGTGAAAATATAAGATATACATAATTATTAGGCAATAAAAAAGGAAAAGAAATACTGGTTTAATTAAACATAACCGTAGGATTTACATGACGTCCACCATGTCCATCGTAAACAGCAAAGAAATCAATGGGTCGGCGTTGATTGATCTCCGGTAAGCAAAGATTAGGTCGAATTGAAATTGTATCTTCCATTACACGCTGCCTTCCAGGTATAGAAATTGCTCCAACCACTGTCTCCGCTTGACGAGAAGACGAGGATTCCATCTTCTTCCCAACTTCACCAATTCCTTGCCCCAAATATGATAGTAATAGTTTCGGGTGATGCTGCCTTCTCATTTGGATTCTACGGTGGCATCGCCGCATACGGCATTTCTCAGAGTAATCGTCCTTGTCACTAAACATTAGTCCAACTAGTGTAACCGCTACAGAAATTACAGAGAGATAATGACATTTATATACTACTCGTTAATCGTTTATGTAGTCGGAAACGTATGGTACAAATTGTGTATACGTGTAGGTATATTTGTTGGGTTGTAGCTCTTATTTCGACTTGTTTCTATATATAGTGTTGTCATCACAAGTAGAGTGACTAAACAATGTTGACTGACCAAAATGTGACAAGGGATTTACACCAGCAGCTTCATCTTGTTCCAGAGATGCCCGAAGCAACCACTTATTGAGACATGCAAGCGACACGTCTCGTAAATGACTCTTTCCTTTTTTACTATTCCCTTCCTCCATATTAATTGACCAAACTCATAAATATAAAGATAATTTACTTCTTAAATTTTTTAAAATTTCTTTTATATAATGTAAGCGCATTCAAAAAAAAAATTAATTACAAGAATAATATAAAAAGATAACGAAGGAAGTAGTTTTTTCCCACCGAATCCAAATTAATTTTCCCCATTTGGCGCGAGATGAATGAAACTTCTCGAATATATCGAAACTCAAAAGTAGTTTGCTTGACACGTTTCCAAAATCACCTGACTAATGGACCACAAAACACGGATATTTCTTACATTTCAAAATAAATGAGGTTTTTAGTTTGAATATACCTTTAAAACTAGTCATTTATATTTTATTAATTCATTTTTAATAAATATCTTCTGAAAAATATAGTAGATTTTTATTACTCTTATTATGTAAAAAAAAAAAAAAAAAACCAGAAGGAAGTAGTAACAACACTTTCTCATTTTATTTTTAATTCAATAATTTATAATCGCTCAAATATCTATTACTTATTTTATACTGCCATAACTTTTTATTTAAAAAATTTTTAAACTTCATTTTAAATCATGTAAATTAAGACTGAGAAAATATTTATAAATAAATAAAAAATCTTCAAGGATATGGCCCACTTTTCCTAGTGTATGTTCAGTCTCTTTGTAATTCTGGAACACAGAGACCGTACGTACATGTTTCTCCATGGCCCACGTGGTAAGAGATGATGGGAATCAGCGCCAGTTTTGTTAATCTGTAAATGACCATTTGGATTTACGTGGAGTGTTTCGTGAACTCATGCTTTACCCAAGTAATATTGATATACTAAGAAATTTATCCGCACTTTGCGTGATTAAAAAGATGATAAGATGAAAATAATTTTATGAAAATATAATATAAATAGAAGAAATATTTATAATATGTGCATATACATTATATATATATATCTAGACATATAAGTGATTTCATAAAGAGAAATGTTTGGTCAGTAATTATATGACTTCCAACAAAGTTATAAGTTGTTATTTTGGACCAAATTTTTTTTTATAAACTTAGGATAATAAAATAATCGTATAAAATATAAAACAAAAAAATTATGAAGAGAATGAAATAAATAAATAATGCAACATTATTCTTATGATCTTAATTATTAAGAAAAAAAGAAAAAAAATGTGAAATCAATGCACAATTTTTTAAACTCTAATGTGATCATTTCTAAAAAGTCTTACAATGTCTTTATTTATAGACATTTAGATTTTTACGATAAAGAATAAAAATGAATGCAAAAATAGTAATTAACTTTTTATTATTATAATAATAATAACAATATTTTTTGCCAAAGAGAGGTGTCGATTTTATTCATTCATTATTGTTGTCTTTCATCTTATTTTTCATCATTATCTAAATAATATTCATATTTTTAATTTTGCTTCTATCCTTTTTATAGTAACAAAAACACATCTTTCTTAGAATCTTAATCATAAGAAATATAAATGGCTCTTGTACTGTAAAAAAATATCATTAAAAAAATTGTATTTCAATAATTGATATGTATTCAAATTTTCTAATCTATCAATAATAGTGTTTGAACCTTGATAATAATTAGCATAAGACAAAGTTACAGTAATTAATTTTCGTCTAACGAAGTACAAACAAAATGCTCTTAATTACATTTCAAGCTTAAGAAATTACATAGAAAGAACACAATACACAATAACTTCATTAGGATCTTAATCATACGAAAATAAATTTAAAAAAATATTAATGAATTAATGTACAACATCTAAGAGTCCTCTTTATTGAGTCTACATATACTACAATAACAAAACATGAAAAACACGACTTTCAATATGAAATAAAAAGGATAATTGTGAGTAGGAGTTTCATGAAATAAAATATTATGATTTTATATGGACAAAATAGAGGAATCTTTAAAAAAAAACATAAATAGTTTTTTGTACAATAATATTGTTGAACATTGGTTAGCAGTTAATAATAACTGATTAACTGATTTGCATCTAAACAAAAATATAGACTTGCAATAATAAAAAATTATACAAATTCAAACTAAAGAAGTTATATGGAGAAAACACATACACATATCTTCCTTAGAATCTTATCATAAGAAAATAAATTAAAATAAGAATACAAAATAAGTGCCCACTTTTTTTAGCTCTTTTTTTTTCAGTCACTTTTTTGAGCTCTTGGCCGGCACCTTTTTTGACAAATTAATCAACATTCAAGAGTCTTCTTCATCGTATACTACAAAGAACAATGAAATATAAAAAATAATCTTGAGTAGAAATTTCATTGAACAAAAAATTTGTGAATTTATAATGATAAAAATGGAGAAATATCATTAAGTATCTTAAATTTTATAATTTAATAGTTGAGGGTTATGAATATGAAAACTTAAAAATCATGAAATTAATTATATTATTAAGAATAGAAGTTTAATAGATATAAGTTATGGAGGTGAAACTTTAAAAGTAAATAAAGAAGGAAAAAAAATAAAAAAGATAAAAGAAATACCTTTATACTAAATAGAGATATAATTTTTTTGAATTGAATAAATAAAAAAGGTGAAAAAAGAATAAGGAAAGGAAGAGAAGTGACTAAAGAAAATGTTATAAATGTCATAAATGATGAGATTTAGGGAACAAAATCGTAATTTTTTAATAAAAGAAACTTTATATTATATTAAAATATAAGTTTCTTGAATTGGATAAATAAATAAATAAAAAGTAAAAAGGAACTAAAAAGGAAGAAAAGGTGATTTAAAGAAATGATATAAATATCATTAGGGAAGAAATTAAAATACTAAAAAGAAGAAGATGAGAAATAATAAGGAAAAAAATAAAAGCCTTTAATGATAAAATAAATTAAATATGACTATTGATAAAGAAAGAATTAAATGTGACTATCTTTAATATTTAGGTGAATTGTTTGTATTTTAAAATTTGAAAAACGGCAGAAAAAACCACAAAAAAGAAGAAGATAAATAGCTACATCAGCATGTCTAACATTCTCTTTTATATAGATATATAGATTAAAGGAAAAAAATATAAAATAATTATTTAAAATGTAACTTAATATACTCAATTGTATAATAACTACTTTTATGGTTAGAGAAATGAAGTGAGGAGATTTTATTGAAATTCTAAATAAAAATTTGAGAAAAAGGTTTAGTTATACCCAATCAATCTTAACATTCTCTATTATTACATGATTTTCTCCTTTTTTTAAAAATCATAATTATATCAGGAATTTAATAGTTGAGTATGTTAAGATTATTTGATTTAAAGCATAAAAAAAAAAGATAGAAGAAAAGAGCAAGAGATGCATTTTAAGGAAATGAAATGAATGATAATAATGAAGAAAATATATTTATTTTTAATAATTTTTATAATTTGTTTGATAAAAAAAAAATAAGAAAAAAGTTCAAAATTATGAGAAATAAATAAATGGTGATACTTTCCAATAAGACATGTCACTTTATTTTTTTTATTGTCCAACTTTAATATTATTTATAAATATAGATCCTTAGAAGGAGAAATGAGGCAAAAATTCGAAAAAAAAATGACAAATCAAATTTTGTAAAAAATAAAATGCAATGTTGTTAAAGTTATAATAGTTAATTCCTTGAGTTGAATAAATAAAGAAAGACAAAAAGAACAAACAAAGGAAAATGAGTGATTTAAGGAAGTGATATAAATAATATAATGATGAAATTAAGGAAATGTAGACAAAGAGATTAATAACATTAATAATGAAAGGAATTACATATAATTATTTCAAATATAAAATTGTAAAGTAAAATTTTTAGTCTTCTAAAATTAGAAAAAAGGACAAATATCTTATTTATAGTTTGAAAATTATTGCACCGTCAAGTAGTATCTATATTTTATATATATATATATGATTGGAAACACGTTACAATAGTTCTTTGCTTTCATTTTATTATAATACGAATAAATTTAAGATTTTAATTATTTTAATAGTCATAAATAATGAAATGATCCCATTAACTAAATATTTTTTGGACATTTGATAAAAATCAATTGTGTCATTGAATATTACTAAACAAATTTGTATTCGGTGATGTCTCATCCATATATTAAAATATAAATATATAGAGATTTAATGTTAAAGATATAAACTTTAATTAAAGACACATAAATCTATATATTTTACTAAGTGGAAATATCTACTACTTAGCACATGACAAGTGTTGGATGATATGTGTTTGATAGTGTTGTACATTCTTCTTTTATGGTTGTACCTTTAAACTTTATATTATTGGACAATTTAACACCATTAATTACCTACTACTTTATTAGCCAAAAAGTTTGTCCTCATTTGGGCCCATTTATTATTTATATGTTTTCAATTTTCAATATATGTTGTCTATCTAATTCTTTTTTCCAACCTTTTATTTTAAACTTCTTGAAATTTAATTACCTATTTATTACTCAATAGAAATATTATTTATTACTTAAACTAAAGATTTCTAAAATTTGTATTAGAACTAGATAATGTTGCCCGTGCTAT